GCTGAACCCTATCAATGAGTTTTCCGAAAATAAAAATCATAAGTTTAGTGGATTTGTTTTTATATCCTCCTTGGGTTTGCTCTTGTCTTTTATGAACATTTTATCCTGAAGTGTGATGCAGTAAAAAGAAAAAAGAAAACTACCGGAATAAAAACTTCTCTGCCTTCCGTCGTTGTGCAGTTCTGTTGTGTTTTAGGGGTGGAGTTTTGGACTGAGGAGCAGTCCTGTTTCAGAGGTGGCCGATCAGGCCCCCAAACCTGGCTTGGCTTGGCAGTTGTCTCAGTAAATTTTAGAAATTATCATCAGGAGGACATGATTCCAGTCTCAGTGCTTCTTGCCAATCTTCCCCTTTAATGGATGACTTTGGATTTCAGGATGTGCTGCCATCTGCAAATATGTTGATTTAAGATGATCTCCAGTAACGTCTAAAACAGTATTTATCTGTGCTGGTCAGATTCCTTTCCAGTGGGAGAGAGACTGAAGTGAGCTGTAGGAGGAGGAAGCATCACAGCCCCGCTCACTTCAGCTGATGTGTAGCTGAGAGCAAGGACACCTGGGATGCTGAAGGTCACTTTGCTCAACAACGTACATCTTTCAGTGTCAACAGTTGTCGCTTTCCCCCTTCAATATAGAAGTTCTGTCTGTAGCCATTGATACAGTGAATTTCTTACTGTCGCATCACTGTGTTTAGAGCTTCCCACGTCACTTATTTGATGTGCTGCATATCAGTGGTCAGTCTTAACAGCTGACAAAGAACTCAACTCTTGAGTTCGTGAGGGGGAAACTGCATCTTTCTCAAGATCAACTGACGAGAGAAATACCAACTCTGCCTAAGAGGCACTTGTAGATAGTCATGGTTGGAAAGAGCTGCATATTATGTGTCCTTCCATTATTTTTTCTGGGATTTTGTTTTCAGTACAGAGTTGCTAGGGCTGCAGTTTAAAAGGGAAAACAGTGTACAGTGAAGTTTTCCTGGTAAATTGCCACCCTAGTAAATTGCTGCTTGTGGGCCTACATGGTAGATTTTCCCTCAAAAGAAACAGACCATTAGCGTATGAAGAGAGGGGTTAGGCTAAAATTCTGCCTGGCATTTTGTCTTCTAGATTTTTTTTTTTTAAATGTAGGAGCACTCAGTTTTGTGACCCCCCATCTACAGGTCTGTAGTAGTACCAGTGGCACGGGTTTACAGCCTCAGGGAGAGCTAGCTAGGGTTCCCATCTGCCTTACTTCATAGAGGCTCAGTGGCATGTTATTTATCGGGGGATTTCTTCCCAAGGCATGAAAAGCTTCAGCTGCCGGTTTCCACGCATTAAGCCTCTAAAGTAAGAGGACAGTTTTCTCCAGGCCTGTAGGCAACTGTAGTGAGAACTAGGCCACGGTAATTTGTTTCTTTTCATTCACATTGGAAGCTTTCATACTGGGATGTTTGTGCATTCAGTAATTTCAAAAATCTCTCCCTTTTCTGGGCTCAATTTATGCCATGAATCACTAGGAACGTGAACCAAGAAAAGATCTAGGGACTCTGAGCAGCTTTACAGTCTATGATCCCTATTTCCTCACTGCATTGATTGCAAAGAGGAGTGGTGAATATTTTGCTTTCAGCTGGGCCTGTGTGTGCGCTCTGGGTGTGCAATCATTGTTTCGGCAGAGAAACATTAAGGACGATAAGGCTGCAAAAGTTCTAAAAGTGGGTAATGCCTGCTAAAGTCTCAGGAGCCACGCTTCCCTGTGGAAGGGACTCGGGCATCTTCCTTGGTCTCCTGTTACTCAGGAGAAAGGGCAAATAGACTATGCCAAACACAAGCTTTTTTCTTGACATCTGTTTAAAAACATTTTTAAAGCACAGATGACTTCCCTGATAATGGAGTGGTTATTTCTGAATAATTCCCAATGAGAGCAAAGTGAGGAGAAAACGTTCATTCCTTCTCAACTTCTAACTGTACACCTGGTTCAGGTGGCATGGCAGGCCCTCTTGTTAAGAGCTATTTCTCATTGCTTATATAAAAACCAAGATCAAGTCTGGGATTCCTTGAGGAAAGTCTTAAAATGATGGTATTCATAGATACCGTGTTTCCCCAAAAATAAGACACTGTCTTGTATTTATTTTTTCTCAAGAAGACACACTAGGGCTTATACCACAAATGCATAGAAATCCTGCTAGGGCTTATTTTTTGGGTAGGTCTTATTTTCGGGGAAACGGTAGCCATTAGAATGAAAAACATATAGGGCCTTGCTCATTACAGTGAGCTTTGCTGTTATTCTTTGAGCTGCTTCAGAGATGAGCCAAGGTGTGACTAGTACTTCAGGTTTTGGTTTCCAATGTAATGTTCAAAGTGGAATGTCAGTTTTGTGTATTATGAGTTCTGGAAACACTTCACATGTGAGTGGAAAGGAAAATTCTGCTTTGGATGCAAACCGTGTTTGTGTTTATTTTCCCCTCCCCTTTCTGCTGCTCCTCTGCTGTTGGACTTTGGCTCTGAAGTGCAGATCCACAAGTTCATGTGCGTCTCAACCTATTTCCTCAAAAAGTATAAGTTAGCATGCTTGACTTTAGCCTGCAGCTCCTCCTCCTTTCTCCCCTGGTAATGGTAGTATCTAGCAATACATAATTCATGAAGTGACACTGTCTTACGGTATGCTGGCATGTCCTAGCTAGATGTTACTACAGGCCCTGTTATTTTCAGTGACTCCACTGATTGCCAAAATGCTTAGTTCTCCACCTCAAATCTTTTATTAAAATTGCAGCATGTGCAATTGTGATATATTTTTTAAATTATCCTATTTTTGTACTAAAGGTTCCAATATCCTCTTGCCCTGGGTTTTAGTTTAGTTCCTTCAGCAGTGTGTATTCTCCCTCCCACCCCAAAGAACAACCAATTCCAGTTGCTATGGCTTTAAACAATGGTTTTTAATTATAAAAACCTCTAGGGGCAGCTTTCTGTGAGAGAAACCTTCAAGCTTTTTTTCAGCATTGCCTCATATGTTGTTGTGTTCAAAGCTGATTCCTCCTGTTTGCCCTTCAGTCACTGGACCGATTCCTGTAATTATCCAGGTGGGCCAGAATCCAAAATGCTGGGCCCAAGAATGCTGTAAACATCACAGTCAGTGCTATGGCTTGTTCCTATAAACGGGAGAAAGAGCCAGATGTAATAAAATACAATGTTTTGGTTTACGGTGGGGGGGGGGGGTTGACCCTTTAGAGTAAGTGGTTTCTTTTTTTTCCTACGAAGAAGCACACGTGTAACTACATGAAGTAATGTTATGCATAACACTCCTGTTTACTTTTATACCACCACACTGTCAGTGTAGAGTATTCCTTATTATTTGAACTGGCCCACAGGTGCCTCGCTGGTTCATACGGCTTTGCTGCAAAAGTACAGCATCAGACCATCAAACAGTAACAAGTCTAGCTCCTGTGTGATTGCAAAAGCAGCACTACAGGGCCATGCACCAGACAAGGAAAGGGGTTTCTGTGTCTCCAAAGGTATGCAGAAAAATACAACTATAAACTAACCAATGAAAACAGTGACCCCCCCCCCCACAAGAACCCTGCCAGATCATAGTTTGTTGCTGAGAGTCACTTAAAGGGTGGGGGGGATTAGCTCAAGGTTTTGGGATTTGTAGAATTGTGGAGGGGGAGATTTGGGGCATGAGGGAAGCTCCAAATTGCCCCCCCCCCCAATGATTCCTCACAGGCCTCCTGCTTGTATGGAATATTTTTTTTAAAAAAATGGGGTCGGTTGTGTTCCTTGCTAGCAGCTGTCCCTTTTATGCTTCACTATGGGGTTTTTTTTGGTTTTTTTAAAAAACAATTTTATACAATTTTTAGCCACCATAAACGGACCGTTCTTGGAACCCTCCTCATAATTAATTGTGAGCATTCAGTCCAGTTAATAGTTTTCAAGACGCTGTTGTAATTATTGCCTTTCCCAAGACCTTGGTGTACAGGAAGAACACGCGTTTTTGGGCCTGCAGCTATATAAAGCATTAAGAAAGGGAGCACATTTGCGACTGACTTTCAAGTGACTTTGTTCTGAAGGCAGGAGCTGAGGCCCTTGCCTAATCCACCCAATAATAAATCGCCTGAACTGGTTGTAGCTCACCTTACATCTGTGTGGCAGCAGTGGCTGTGTGCAAGCTGACCCTTTGGTGCATGAAGCAGCTTATTTTTCCTCTCTGTTTTGTGGGGGATGGGGTGGGAACTGACCTTCCTCTTCCGGTTACACTTCACTAATACCCCGTTTAATTGAGTTCAGATTTATAATGTCTGGAACTTTCTCAAAAATGGTTAATCACACGAGGGACTGCTCCTACTGTGTCAAATGCTTCCCAGTTCTTCAATCAATGTTTTTGTGCAATACAAGCTCAAAATGCTGCACGGAATAATTTAAGCATATACGTTTTCAAGCAGTAGAGCCTAGACAGGCACTGCCAAGTCTAGTAAGTACCCATTCTTCCCCTTAGGGCAGTTGTAGCATTGCTTAGGTCGGTCTGCATTCAGATGCTGGTTGGGTCTACATTTGGATTAAACAACTGAAATTGTATAAAACAAATTGTGTTGGTTGTCTGATTCATTGTTTAATCCTTTTAAGTATGCAGCTGTGTATATCAGACAAAGATACCAACAGCATGCAAGAGATCTCTGCCCTGGAATTTCTTTGGCACGCTGGGTCACCCTAAAGGTTGAATCTGGAAACAACCACACCCCAAGCCAGAGCCTCCTTAAAAAGAAAAAGAAAATTTATTTTAACGTGCATGGGTCCAAGAATTCCATGCTCAAGAACCCCGATTTGAGTTTACACAATACATTTATAGAAATAAGAAAGGAACTTTATTACAACTTCCAACATACACCTTTTGGCGGGAAAACACATGATTGGTTAAGAACTTGGGGGTCTGACCGATCTATGCTGTTGCTTAGGCATGTGACACTTTTACCCAGTTTCTGAACTAGTTCAGACCGGTTTACCTGCACCGGTTGCTGTCAATCTCAAGCCAAATGCTCCCTCCCAGTATGATCCTAGAAACAACTGTGAAAGTTGATTTTTAATATGCTAACTTTAGAGTGGAGGAAATGCTGTTTAAAGAGGAAGGTGCTCAAAGTATCTAAGCTCTCCCCCACCCCTGAGGTTTATCTATAGCATCAATCTATAAAACACCCAGTGTTAATCCTAGTTTGGCTTTTATTTTAGCTATACTGTGCAAAAATGAACAGAGGCTTGCATTTGTTTCCTGGTACGTGTGTCAGACCTTGAGATCAATGGCTGTGTGTCTAATGGCTCCTCAACCAAACGGCTGCCCAAAATGAGGAAATGAACTACAGGGTGGCATCATAAATTACTTAAAAGTATTTGCCCCAACCCAGTTTAAATCCATACCATTCCTACTGACTTCAGTAAAAGCCATTAGGAATAACAGCAAGGAAGCATTTAGTTTTGAAAAGAGTTTCTCCTATAACTAAAGAAAAAGAACACTTTTGATCGTGCCAGGAGATTAATACATTTCCCCTCCGCCTATTTCTGTTTCTGCTCCCAAGACTATTTCAGTTAGTAATAAAATGTAGAGGCCTGGTGGGTTCCTTCCAGCACCATAAGGCCGCATAATATAAGACGGTTTTGAGGAAAGGGGGACTCCCTCATCCTGTCCTTTTAACATGGTTATCGTCTTGTGTCTAGGTGTGAGTCAGCTTGTGTGGGATTTTAATATTCTGGGTCCCAGGTGGTGGGATCGAATCCCCCCCCTCCACCCCGCACCAAACAATGCGCCGTCCGATAAAGTTTACCCCCCAGACACGTAGTCTGATTTCCAGTTCAAAAACAGGAGGACTTACGACTGGAGTTACAATCTCTTTCGGTGGGTTACTTCCAATGCTTGCTTTTGGAACCATCTGATTCCTCAGCGCTGCATTCAGGAACCGGAATGTCTTCCGAAAACCCGGCATGTTCTTCTCTGTGGGTGGTTTTTCCCCCCTTTCCACCCCAAAGCTCTTGCTAAAGCAGGGTTATGGCCCTTCGCAGGACGTGTCCACTGGCTGCAAAACAAGGCTGGGAAGTTGCAGCTGCCACTGGGTCACGAGTTCCCTATTCCAAAGCCGCTGAAAGTCTGCAAGTGGTTTGCTGTGACGCCAGGTGTCAGTGCGAGATACACGTTCCGTCACTCTGTTCCTGTAAGATTAATCTAGCACTGCTTGACTCTGGTAGGCTACCTGGTTGCCTAGCTACCTCACAAATACACACTGCTTTTGAATTCCCAGATAGCTGAGGCCTCTCTGGACTGAATGCCCCCTAACTGCTGCTTTCAACGTCCTTAACTGCCATTCTCAGCCGGTCTCTCTCACTAACATTCCATCAGCTTCTTCCTAAATCTTTTATCTTTTTAAAAAAAATCAGATTTCTTGAACAGTGCACTTACTGATTTCCAAAATAAAATTGCTGAGCGGTCAGGTTAGAATGGATAAAAAGAAGTCCTTCTTCACCCAAAGAGTGATTAACACATGGAATCCACTGCCACAGGAAGTGATGGCAGCTACAAGCATGGACGGCTTCAAAAGGGAATTAGATAAGCACATGGAGCAGAGGTCCATCAGTGGCTATTAGCCACAAGGTATAGATAGGAACTCACAGGCTGGGACAGGTGATGCTTTTCTTCTTGGTGCTTGGGGTGGGGGCAACAGTGGGAGGGCTTCTAGTGTCATCTGGCCCCACTGCTGGACCTCCCGATAGCACCTGGTATCTTTGGCCACTGTGTGACAGAGTGTTGGACTGGATGGGCCATTGCCCTGATCCAACATTATGTTCTTATGATAGGACTAGGAATGTGATGGCAAAACACCAAAACATTCTGACATCTGGTGGGGTTTTGGGTTGCCAGTCTCCAGGTGGTGGCTAGAGAGCTCCCAACTATTACAACCAATCTCTTCTCCAGGTTGAAAGACAGAAATCCCGTCTACGGTATGTTTCCCCAGCCCAATTTGAGAAAGCATTTGGCACAATCCTGTAGAATAGAACCAGATCTAGAACTTTATTAATAACAAAGGAGGGAAGCATGGGTTCGACAAGATTTTGGATCCCGCAGCTCTCCCTGAGGTTACAATGGGAAACATAGGGTTTTATACCCCCTATGGCACTTAGAAATAAATCATAATTATTGGTTCCATCAAACTTTGTCATATATCAGTCACAATGTTCTGATTGGGCCCAGACCTGTGGGCTGGATTTTCTCAAGCGAAAAGGTACCTCCTTCATTTAAACAATGGGCCTTCTTCTTCCCAGGCTATGAAATTCTAAAAGTATCTAATGTAGCAGATATGGGTACATAGTGGTGTGTGTTCTTCATCTAACGTAGGCTAAATGACATTAGGAATATGCGCAGTTATAGCTGGCCTACCAAGGCCATAGGCCTCAGCAAAAATAGCAAGTTAACATTTTGTTCTTTCAGCATTTTGCCCTCCCAGCATGCATCCAAACAACAGTCACGAATGAACCAAAGTTAATACCTGAATGATGTTAGAATCATAAATGGCACTTAACATATGCACCGTGGAAGTGCTAAGTGCACCCACCAAGTCAAACCTGTTAGTCAGTGGCAGAGTACAAAGTGTTTCATAAACTGTGCGTACAACAGGCTCCACCCCCCAAATCCCGAGGTATTTTCCAACCCAGCGCTGGCAGCCCTAGGAAGAGCTAAAGTTGGAAAGAGGCTCTTCCCAGATGACAGGGAGTGTTTGACGTTGCCAGACCACAGTAGACTCAGCACTGGCTCTTTCATGTCAAAGCATTCACATAAACCTGTGACTACTTATTTGCTCTAGCATTCCAATGACTGGGCTGAATGACTCATCCTACACTCGGCTTGGACCTAAATATTCTGCTCAGGAAAGTTTGAAGCCTTCCTCTGGTGGAAACTCCTGTCAGAGAAAGTCTCCAGCCTTTGCAGTCTGTAGTAAGTAAAGGTAAAGGTCTCCCTTGCTCGAAAGCCAGTCGAGTCCGACTCTAGGGTTGCGGTGCTCATCTCCATTTCAAAGCCGTAGAGCCAGCGCTGTCCGAAGATGTTTCCGTGGTCATGTGGCCGGCATGACTAAAAACACACAGCGCAGGGGACGCTGTTACCTTCTCACCAAAGTGGTACCTATTTATGCAATTTCTTGCTTTCGAACTGCTAGGTTGGCAGGAGCTGGAACTAGAGATGGGAGCTCACTCCGTCATGCGGCACCTGGGTATGTAGTAGTAGGAAACAAAATAATGATATGTTCATGGATTATAGGAGTTTCTTGCTCCCCACCCAGCACACAATGTGTGTTTTGTTTGGCTACCACTAGAAGACTGAGAGATCTGAGTTTAGAACATGGAAATGTATCAGGAGCGATTTGCCCCCCCCCCCACTGGCTGCTTTATGCCTTGTTGTGTATTACTAATGAAGTAGGCATTATTATTCCTTGCCCATATAAGGGGTTGTTGCTGTTCATGTTCCAGTCATAAGGGGGCAGAAGTGAGCTTGTGTAGTTTGGGAGGGAAAAATAAGCCTAGTCAATGGAAAATTCCACTCTGGTGATGTAAATGGTGACGTGTAACCTTGTTGCAGTATAAAAGCCTGGAGCCTGCGTTGCTCTGGGTTCAGTCTGTTTAAAGCGTGCTTCGCTGACTGAACCGGCGCCAATAAAGTTCTTCTCCTTCTGTTGATCTGGTGGTCTGTGCTTGGGCTTAGGCCCCTTTCTCCGTGCTACATTTCTGGTTCCCTGACCGGGAAAGGGGGGAGCACCCAACCAAGGCCGGGTTGTTGGGGCCCTCCTGAGCCACGATTTTGAAGAGAACCGCACTGACTGAGGACTGTTTGGCGGCAAAGGCGCCATTTTCGATTTCGAAAAGCCGATCATTCACTCCTCTCCAGGGCTGGTTCTCACCAAAGTCGCTTGCTCAGTGAACTCAGCCAGGAGGAGAACATCAGGGGAAGACTCCGGAGTCCAGTCTGGTCAGAGTCAGGTCAGTATTAATCGGTATCGGTCCCCTTCAGTTGAAGGGAAGAGGAAGCCTGATCACCTTCCTATCGGGTCAGTTTCTGTCAGGCAGGCTAGGAAAGCCTTGGCTTTCCTATGATCAGGGTGGGATCTGTGTTGAAGTGAATGCATGGTGTGTGAGTGTGAAAAGGCGGACTCCCGTAATAGGAGAAAGTCAAATTGAATTGTGGTCACCTCAAGCTCGCATTTCTCAGTCGAGAGATCGCATCTGAGTCGGGTACAGGTGGAAGCATTTGTGGTTAAGGTCTCCCTTTTATGTGTCTAGGAGCAGTGGACCCCTTACCACTCTCCCTGTTTACCCCACCCTCTGTATACCCAGCTGTCTGTCTTTTGTCTGTTCAAAATGGGAGGGAGTCAGGCAAAGCCCAAAACCCCTCTTCAGTTTATGCTCAAGCACTTTGAAGAAATTTTTGGCACAGCCACTCATGGCGTAGTTTTAAATCCAGTCTGTCTGCAGACATTTTGTGAGGTAAACTGGCCTGCGTTTACAGTGGGATGGCCACCAGAGGGCTCCATGGATCTCTCTCTGCTACACAGAGTCTATCTGGCAGCTACGGATCCCCAAGAGGACCATTCCGATCAGCAGCTCCATTATGTCTACTGCTGGTATGAATATGTGAGGAAAAATCCTTCCAAGGCCAAGCGATTTAAAACCCGACAGGGCTCTGCCCCAGCAGCCAACCAGCCTATAGTTTGCCCAACACCAGGAACTATGCCAGCAATTTGTCCAACCCTGAATACCCCAGAAAGCAGGCCCCAAGGCCCCCAAGTGACTTGCCCGCCACCGGAGGATGATTGGCCCCCACCATACTCTGCTGGGCCATTGCCACCGCCTCCTCTTCCAACTCCGCCCCCAGAAGCAAGAGTGACTAGATCACAGACTGCGCAGGCCCGTGCCGCCCAAGAACTTGCAGCCCAGGAGCAGCTTCAGGAACTGCAAATCAGTGAAGCGCTTAGCCCTTCAGTGCCAGTCTCCACCATTTATCCATCCTTAGTGGACTGTTTGGCTACTGCCTCTGCTCCTGAACCTGAGACCCCTGTCACTCCCATACCTAAGACAGTCCTTAAGAAAAATCCGACAACAGGGACCTGGAGCCCCGCCACTCATTGGAGTCCTACATCAGGACTCAGTGAAATGAACCCTTTTAAAGTGCCTGTAGGCAAATCTCAGGAAACTGGCAATTTAGCAACAGTCTGCCCTCTCCGTCAAGTTCCAGCAGGAGCGGATGGGATTATGAGATGGGTCTATTCTCCTTTCAGTACTGTCGATCTCTGTAATTGGAGAACACAGACGACCCCATATAGTGAAGACCCCCGACCCATGACAGATCTGTTTACAACAATTATGGCTACACATGCCCCTACCTGGCGAGATTGTAGCCAGTTACTTACTGCTTTATTAACTTCAGAAGAGAAGCGGAAAGTCATGGCAGCTGCTAAGAAAACTGTTGAAAACAGAGTCCCTGCTGACCAACAGCCTAATGCAGCTGACTGGGTTCGTGCCCGCTTCCCAGATATAGACCCAAATTGGGACCCCAATGTAGATGCAGATAGAGGAAGATCAGAGGAATACCGAACTGCCATCCTCTTAGGTCTCCAGGAAGCAGGAAAGAAGCCCATGAATATGGCTAAATTGAGGGAGGTCATTCAAGAGCCAACTGAGCCACCCTATACCTTCCTTGAAAGACTGTACAAGGCTTACCGCCTCTACACTCCTTTTGACCCAGAGGAAGAAGCAAACCGTACAATGGTGAATGCATCTTTTGTTAGCCAGGCTGCACCTGACATTAGACGCAAATTACAGAAGTTAGAAGGGTTCCAAGGGATGAACGTGTCCCAATTAATTGAGGTGGCCCAGAAGGTTTTTGTGAATAGAGATAAAGAAGAGAAGAAAGAAGAAGAAGCTAAGCATAGACGAAAGGCAGCAATTTTAGCAGCAGTGATCCAAGGCCATGAGTATGACCGCCCGTCCCCAACATCCAACCTTGAGCCCCGTGGTCCTAGAACCCTAGGCCGGGACCAATGTGCATACTGTAGAGCGGATGGCCACTGGAAAAACGAATGTCCGAACCGCCAGTCCAGACTCCGGGG